GGGAGGGAGGGAGGGGAGACCAGGGGGGGTTAGAAGAGGGAGGAGGCGGGAGGAGGAGAGGCGGGCCGCGGCTCACAGCGTGTTTGAGAGCAGCGCGGGCCAGAAGCCCCTCCGGAGCAGCAGCGGCAAGAGGAGGTACTGGAGGACGTGGAGCAGCAGCGAGAGGACGAAGAGGCCGTTGCAGTGTACGTCGAATGCGTACAGCCACTCCACGCGCTCGTCGCCGCCGCCGCTGCCGCCGCTCCGCCCGCCGCGGCCGCCCGACGGGAGGAGCAGGTAGGTGTTGGCGACGGTCCACGCGAGGGTGGAGAGCGCGGCGCCAAGGACCACAAAGTCGACGAGCAGCACGTACAGCGCGAGCGACAGGACGGAGAGCGGCGAGCCGCGTCCAAAGCCGATGCACCACGCCGCGGTCGACACGAGGAGCAGATAGGCGATGAGGACGACAAAGGCGGGGTCGTCGCGCGCCCACTGGTGCTTGGTACCGCGGTGGTACGTCGCCGACCTGTACACGCGCCGCGGGTCCGAGCAGAGGCACAGCATCTGCCAGAGAGCCTGGTCAAAGTCCATGTGCCGCAGCCGCGTCATCCGCCGCAGGTAGAGCGCCGCCACGCGTGCCGCGCTGCCGTCGTGCCCCTTGAAGCGCTCGTCGTCCTCGAGCGGGCCGGGCAGCATCAGCGTGGGAGTGGCTCGTGGCCAGGCGGTGGTGGGCCTTGCTGATCGCGCAGCGAGGCTCCAGGCTAGCTAAACCGGGCCGCGCCAGCGCCGCTCAAGAAAAAAGAAAAGGCTACCCAATACGGGTAACTAGAGGAAAAAAGAAACTCGCGAGTTTTCTTTTTTGACTTCCGCCGCTTTTCTCTGTGTCGGGGTGTGAGATACGAGCCCCCCCCCCCCCCCCTTCTGAAACATGCGTGTAGAGCGCATGAGCGCATACAGAACAACTTAAAGGCCCACTCCACGCCCCCTTTCGCCTTTGAGCAAGTGTCGACACTTGGCCGCCGCTGCCTCCTGAGCACCCCCACGCCGGTTGTGGCTGCTCTCCGCCCACCAGCCGGCCACAGGCCGCCACCCTCGCCGGCCGGCGTCGAGAGAACGGCCAGACTCGACCGACCGGGTGTCGCGCCGCTGCCTGCTTCTCGCGCCGCTGTAGCAGCGCCAGCGGCTCGGCCGCGCATCCTTCACACACGCTGCCACAACCAAGCTGAGCGAGCCCAGTGTCGAGGTCTGGTGCGAGCTGCATGCGAGGGGCGGCTTTGGCCACAGCAGGTCCACCAGACGGACCTCAAAGCTTGCCGTCGGCGTGCTGTCGTGGCGAGAGCGCGAGACCGCTGCAGAGGAGCCGAGTGCAGTGGCGAGCCAGAGGCTACCAGGGTCACCAAGTGGTAGCCCTTGCCCATTCTGATCAGGGCTGTGCTTTGGTGGGGTTGTGTTTGAGCATGTGTGAAGTGGGAGTGCGTGCCGGCGGCGTGTCTGTGGGTGAAACGGGCGTGAGTGAGGCCGTAAGAGCCGTGGTATGAGCCAGAGTGGGCTTCATCACCCAAAATAAGGACGGTTTGGGACAGCTCAGACTTGGTACTGATGAGCCTGGGCCAGGAGGGCGACAGAGAAGGCGAGGTGAGCTGAGCTGGGAAGCCGCTTCATCGGCACCTGGACGTGTCGCGATGAACTGCCGAAAAGTACTATTTGCGGCTATTGCTCAAAACTTCGGGAGACAAGGCCTACATATTATGACTGAATCCTTGCGCCTGGTGCATGAGGGCTGCGGGTCGGGACATTTCACGGTCGGTGGCGCCGGTGTTGGCCTCCGGAAAGCCCTCGCAATCGCCTCGGATGGGGTCCACCGGAGACAATCTCGAGCCCTCTCCGTGGCATCACGAGCCGGTGTGAGCTTGCAGACCCAAGGTAAGTGCGGTCTGGGACGGCTTAGGCTTGATACTGATGGGCCTGGGCCAGGAGGGCGACAGAGAAGGCGAGATGGTGAGCTGAGACGCTGGAGAGTCCGCGTGTGACCTTGTCGAGATGCAAGTGGCACGAAGCGCTATTTGATGCTCCCAACGCGCCACGGGGGCATCGCTGACGCGATCGTGCGCCTGACGCCTATTGCGGCGGTACAGCGGCGAGGGCGTCTATATCGGCACAGCCGCGTACGTCTCTGAGTGCGTGATGGAGCGACTGGACAAGAACAACTGGAGGTGCAAGATGTACTGGCCCCCGCACTACCCTTGCGGCGCGACGGTTCGGCGCCGCGCGTGCGCCCCCTCGAGCCAGGAGTCGTGTTTGCTCATCACCTTCCGAGCGGCGTTGCCCGCCACGGCGTGCAATGTCGCCTTGGAGGAGTCGACCTGCCGCCTGTTTGTGAGTCAGGCTGGGATGGAGCCAGAGGCATGCAGTGCGTGGTGCCACAGCAGCGACTTGCTACTGACTCCGTCGGAGCTGCCACCGAACTCTGAGCTGCCGCCGGGCGCTGAGCTGCCACCAAGCATGGTCCTGCCAAACTCCACCAACGTGGGAGCCGATGCGGAGGCGCGAGCGGCGGCTGGGAGGGCAGGTCTAGCTGACGATAGATCTAATACCGCTCTCGACGGCGTCATCGCCATCACGGTTGCCCTCAAGCAGCCGTCCGCGACGGCGATCTCTGCCATCGAGGCCACAGCAGCGGGGGTGCTGTCGACGACCGAGGCCGCCTCGGCCTTCCTCGCCGCGCGCATTGTCGTCGCCACCAACCCAGGGGTGGCAGGGTCGCAACCCGAGAGACCCACGCCGCCGCTAGCTGTCAATGTCGGCGCTGCCATGGGGGGCGTTGCGGCATTTGGGCTGTTGGTACTGCTCGCGCGTTGGCGCTTTGGGCGCCTCTTCAATCGGGCTGTCGCGACTCGACTGACGCTGCGCGTCCACGCCCCACGTCCAAAGCACGAAGACGTGCGACTAGCAGTCGAGCCGAGCCGAGCCGAGCCCGAGAGGCCGAGTTGCCGTTGATGACACGTTGACAGGGAGCAGGCCCGCAATACTTCCCTCCCACCCACAGCCACACTTGAGCTTGCGCTCACTTCGCCTCACGCTTTGACCACCCTTGTCCTCTCCGTCCACGCTGCAGTTGAGTAGCTGAGTGCTGAGACGTGAGAGACATGAGGCTGGAATGAGCTATGAATGTCGAGAGCATGATCGAGAGAGCATGCAGCGCGAGACTGAGAGAGCGAGACCGAGAGAGCCAGAGCACCCCCTGCCCGCGTACCGCTTTCATCGTTTTTCGCTATTTAGTTTTTCGCTATTTAGGTATTTTCGCGTCATTTTCAATCTCTAGGGGTGAGAGTCTCTCTCTACACTCTGTGTCTCTGTCGATCCTGTCTCGTGTCCCCCACGTCTCTCCGGGGTCCTGCTAGCTCGCTGGACGCTGCCTATCTGATGAGTAACATGATGAGAGAATGTGACGAGACGAGAGACCGCATGAAAAACGAGTTCGAGTATCGCAGTACGCTCTACGCAGATTCGGAACGACATCGCAATCGCATCAACCAACCGCATCATCCCATAGAGCCGTAATTAACGCTGATACCCCTGAGAGAGCACCGTCTCGCTCCCCTCCCCATGCCCACAACGACCCACGCACACAGCAGAACCATGGAGTAATGACATGCAACATCTTCAGGACATGGTATAATATCTAGATAGTCTGATAGGGGTGCTACGTGGCACTTGCGGTGCCCCGCCTCCTCGTCCTGGAGGGATGAGCGAAAGGCCGTGCAAGGGCCGATCTAGCTCGCGCCACCCGCTTCGGCGTCCTTCTCGCCGCCGCCGCCGAGCGCAAGGAGGGTCGCCTCGGGGAGCTGGAGGCAGAGGCAGGCGAGGACGATGGCGGCGCCGCCGAGCAGCTCGTTTGGCGCGATCGCGTCGTGCAGCAGCAGCGCGGCGAAGCCCGCCGCCCAGAGCGGCTCGGTGGCGAAGATGACGCCCGCCTCTGTCGACGGGACCTTCTTGAGCGCGATCGTCTCGCCCCACAGCACGCCGGCGCCCGTGACGAGCCCCATCCAAAGCAGCGCCGAGAGGAGCAGCGGCTGCGCGCCGCTCGCCGCCTGCACCTGCTGCAGCCACTGCTCCGCCCCCCCGGCCAAGCCGCCGTCGGCCGCGTGCCACGCCGCCGTCGCGACCAGCATCGCGACCAGCTGCCACGCGGTGAGCGGCAGCGCGAGGTCCGCGTCGTCGAGCCGCTCCATGTGCATCTCCATGCGCGCAAACATGGCGCCGAACCCGACGGCCGTGCCGAAGCACCACGCGTCCCCGGCGTTGAAGGCGCTGAGCCCGCCCGCCGACGCCTCGCCCACGCCCGGCACGAGCCCCTCGAGCACCGCCGTGCCGGCCAGGGCGATGGCGACCGCGAGGTAGGCCTGCAGCTCGACGCGCCGGCCCGCCAGCCCGTTGATGAGCGGCGTGATCACCATGAAGAGCGCGCAGATGAAGGCGCCCTTGGCCGGTGCCGTCTGGGCGAGGCCGATGGCCTGCGTGACGTAGCCGAGCGCGCACCAGGCGCCAATCTCCAGCCCTGGCAGCATCGTCTTGTCTGCACGCAAGTCCCACTCGAGTGCGGACAGGCGCTGAGCGAGCAGCGGGAGGAAGGGCAGAGTCGCGCAGGTGAAGCGCAGGAAGGTGGCCTGAGACGGAGAGATGGACTCCTCGACGATGTGGATGAGCGGGAAGTTGGTTCCACAGCTTCCGGCCATCGCAAGCAGCGCGAGGCGGGGAGCCGCCCACTCCCAGCCCTTCTCCTCCTCCGGCTCGGTCTGCCGGTTGGCAAGGTGGACCGAACCGCTCAGGACGTGGTCGGCCCGGTCCTCAGTCTTGCGGGTCAGTGTCTGCCGATGTTCAGTCTTGAGCGGCTCGATCGTGCGCTGGGCTAGCATGGTGGGCGCAGCGCGAGGCAGGCCGACTGCAGAGACTGGATGGGGCGATAGCGACAGTGCGAGTGCTGGCGAGGCAGGCACGAGCACGAGAGGACCGACGATCGGGCACAATCGCACAATGAGGGCGAGCGCCATTGGCGGAAGTGCTCGGGAAGCCGCCACAATTCGATGTGTGCACGGGGAGTACGACTTCGACACCCTTCTTTCTTTCTTTTTTGAAAAATTCTTAGTCTAAGCCTAAAGTGACTAAAGAAAGCGGTGGGCTGCACGCAAGCATCCGCAGTCGACCGCACGTAGATGCTCACGCAGTGGGTCGCCGCCGCTCCGCTTAAAGCGGCGCTCGCCCTGCTTGCCGTGTTCGTCGCGGCACGAACAGGCGTCTTCATCCACAGCATCCGCGCGTACCGTGAGAAAACAAAGGCGGATCGCTGCCTGGCGCCGCGGACCTTTCTCAGCCTCCCCGCGGGCTCGGCGCCCGTTCGCCGCCTCGAGTTTTTCAAGATCAACGACGAGGTGATGGGTGGTCGATCCACCAGCTCTGTTACCGCGAAGGGCGGCGACGTCACCTTCTCCGGTGTGATCAACACAAACGGAGGCGGGTTTGCTTCTTTTCGCACGCTCGGCGCGCGGTCAGCAGGCTCCGACGATGAGGCGCCGCTCGGGCTGCCCGCAGAATGCGCCACGGTCGAGGTGGCGGCCACCGGGGACGGCCGGCGTTACAAGGTGACCCTCCACGTCGCCGACAGCTGGGCGATGTCGTTGCCGGTCTGGGGTGCCGACTTTGTGACGCGCGGCGGCAGGCAGACGTTCCGGCTGCCGCTCCGCTCCTTCGTGCCGACGCGCCAGGGCCGCGTTGTGAAGGCGCCGCCGCTCAGCCCTGCGGCGGTAACGGGCGTTGGCTTCTCGCTCTCGCTCTACACCGCAGACGGGAAGCCGAACAAAGAGTTTGGAGACGGGCCGTTTGAGCTGACGGTGCATGGCGTGGAGATCAAGAGATGAGTATGCTGGGATTGCACGGCTTGTCGAGAGAGAAAAGAGGATATCTAAGGCTAGAGAGGGGGTTACATCTCCCTCCCCATCACAGACTCATCCACGTTAACAGTGAAAAAGCCGCGCCCCCACACGCCCCACGACGCGGCGACGCACGAGGGAGAGATACACATATGCATGGGACACGGCGAGCACCGAGCAGAAGCCCGAGGATAATACAACGGATGGCACGCCGCCCGATGAAGCCGCTCTGCAGTGATTCGCGCCACAGAACCATGGTGCTTTAGGAAGCAGAGCGTCATAGCGGCGAACGGGAGGCGGTCCAAGCTAGAGAAGTACGATCAGTGCGACAACGATGAGCGCGTTGGTGAGCACGATCGGCGCAATGTACTGGTTATATCACCGAATCTCCGCGCAGCAGAACTCTGAGGCGCTTCGCGTCCCGCCAAAGTCGGGATGCGAGCGCCTCCAAAACTCGCGCCAGGAGTGCGGCTGCTCACGCTGTCACAGCGGCTCCTTGACTCCACCGTACGCGGTGTAGTCGTGCGACATCTAGAACGCTGTTAAAAAAGCTGCAGCAATGCTGCCAGGCGCCCGCCCCGGCGGTAACCGAGCGGAGCCGGCGATCGTGTCGGTGAATTGTCCTTCTTCTTGGTTCCGCTGTTGTGTTTGTTTTTCTGCGAACATTTACGTATGTTGTTGGCAAATGAGGATTATGTTATTGGCAAAACGGGACAACTCTGCAACAAGAAAAAACTCGCGCGCCTCGCCGCGGAGCTGCCCCCAGCGGCCCACGTCGGTGGCCCTGCGTCAAGGCGCACAGCAGCCTCGTCGCCGCCCTCGACGACCTCACGTCCTCCCTCTGACCCGATGCTGGAGACCTCGGAAGCGGACTGGGCCTGGGTCCCTCTCTACGGCGGCAGCTGGCTCTGCTTCAGCGCGATCATGCTCACTCGGCAGATGTACAAGCTCAGCCCTGGCTTTCGAAAGCGGCTCCGAAACACCCGCTTCTTCGAGGTGAACACGGCCGAGGCGAGCGAGGCCGAGATGGCGTCTGTGATGCTGGACGCCTTTCGATGCTATCCAGCCACCGTCTCCGAGATGGTCGAGGACTCCGCCTCTGCGCACGGCATGGTTTTTCGCGCTCTGATGGTGACGGGAGGCCTCGCCGCCACCGGCACACGGCTCGGGCAGCTGTCAGCGCCTGCGAGCGGCGGCTTCGCCCTGCTCCTCGGCACGGTGCACGCCCTCCGCACCTTTTCGATCTGCAGCGTCGTCGGCTTCTCGTTTGCGCCGTCCGGAGGGCCCGACTACGACGTGTCTCAGCTCCGGGACGAGCTGGCAGCGAGCCCGCGCTCAGCAAAGCTGCAGCGGGGCAGCCGCCACCTGCGCGACACAGTGCCGTGGATCGGCGCGTGGATCGACGACGCGCAGCTGAAGGCGACGCGACTCCCTCACCGCCGCCGCCCTCACCGCCGCCGCCCTCACCGCCGCCGCCCTCACCGCCGCCGCCCTCACCGCCGCCGCCCTCACCGCCGCCGCCCTCACCGCCGCAGCCCTCACCGCCGCCGCCCTCACCGCCGCCGCCCTCACCGCCGCCGCCCTCACCGCCCAAGGCGCTCTCCGACGAGCGGCGCGAGCTACTCACCCGGACTGCCGTCGCCGGGATGATCCACATGGTGCTCGCATTCTTGATGCTGTCGGCGACTCCGCGCAGCCGCGCCAGCCACGACAGCGCCGCCTCCCTCGCCTCCACCTCCCTTCCCGCCACGCCACAGGTGCTCCCCGCACTCGAGTTGATCGTGCTGCTCTGGGACGCGCACTCCTTCGCCCCAGCCATCCGAGCTTGCTCGCCGTGGGCGCGCGCCTGGTCCGCCTCGGCTGCCTCTCGGCTGCCTCTCGGCTACCTCTCGCCTCTCTCTCAGGCGCTCGCGTGGTCCGCCCTGGCCGCTGTCCGGCTGCTGCACATCGGCTGCATCGCCGGCTGCCTCAACTACTTCCTCTTCTTCTTCTACTCCGGCTTCCTCAACCCGAACTTCGCCTCCTCCGCCGCCTTCTACAAGGGCTTCTGGGCCGAGTTCGCCGCCGCTCGCATGTTCGCGCAGCTGATGATTCTCGCCGCCGCCGCCTCGTGGTTCGTGCCGCACTACCAGCAAGACGGCTCGCCGCTCCTCTTCGACGAGCGGCCGCTCGCCGGCCGCGCCGTCGCCGTCGCCGTCGCGGCGGCGCACGGCGCCTCTTTCGGCCGCTTCGCGCTGCGCAGCGCGTGGAAGTCGCTGCGCAACCTCGAGTACTCGGAGGCGGGGCGAGAGCCGTGGCGCGGGCTGGTGCGTCCGCTCGCGACCTCACCCGTCGGGCTCGCCACACCAACCCCCTTAGGCGGAGCTCGCGTCGCTGCTGCTGCAGTGGAGGAGGGCGGAGGGGCTCTTCCAGTCGCTGCTCGACGCGTACCTCCTCTCGCTGCAGGCGGCCGCCGCCCCCTCCCCCTACCTCTCCCTCCCTCTCCTCCCACACGCCGCTTGCCACACACCGTGCAGAGCGCCCCGCCGCCCTCCTCGTGCCTCCCCTCCCCACACCCCATTCCGTCCTCTCCGCAGGCGCTGCAGTCGACTCTCACGGCCGACGGCTCCGGCCCCGAAGGCCTCGCCGCACAGCTCTGCCGCCTCCTGCGCGGCGGCTCGCGCGGCCCGCCGGAAGCCTCACCGCCAGAGCGGCAGCGGGCCGGAGGGCAGCAAGGGAGCCGCCCTGGGGAGGCCGGCCGCAGCGGGGCGGAGGGTGGTTTGACGATGCTGCGGCGGCAGCTGAGCTGGGCGCGCCAGTTCCGCGGGGCGCTCAAGATGCATGATGAGTGAGTGAGCACGCATTCGCGACACGCGCGTGCCTTCCACGTCCACATATGGCTGCGGTCTGTGCTCCCCGTGGGGCTCTTGCGCGGTCTTCTTGCCTGGTGGGGCGTCTCTGATGTGGATCTGCATCCACCGCTTTGTACGATCGAGTTGCGCTGGAGCGTGTCTGCCCAGACATCGAGGGACGAGGCGGGGTGCGGGTGTCTACTCTTCTCGGCCAGACTAGCCAGATGAGCCGGTACGTCAGTATGTGCGCACATGCATGTGCATGACACATATGCTCACGATGCACGATGCACGATGCACGATGTGACACCTATTTGGCTGTTTCGAGCTCAAAAGAACAAACATAATACATATGGGCCACACCGCCGCTCTTGCGCATCGGCCTTCGGGGCCGCACAGCGCACTGGGACCACTGTTATCTTTTTACGAACTATGCACAGAGAGGGGTCTTAACCAGAGCCCCCCCCCCCCCACCCCACCCCCACCCCGCGCTCGCTTTTCCCATTAGCATCTTCCAGCGTCGTAACGTCTTCTGTCGATCAAACCTTGTAACTTGCGTCGTCCGCTTCATTCTGAAGCAGCTTCAGACGCAGCTTGTACGGCAGCCGGCACGCACCCACATCGAGCGAACCGAGAGATGTCCTCCACGCGCGTTACCCTCGCTCTCGCTCTTGCGGCCAGTCGTGGCACCTTTGGCGCATGCCCATTCAGCGGACGGACGGCAGGCAAGGGCGTCGAGTGCCCTGGCAAGGCTGGGCCGAATGGCCGTCGGCTCCAGCAAAACATCGGCCAGATCACGACGGCTTGGCTGGCAGGCAACCCCATTCCCGGCGGTCCCATCCCGGGCGTGTATGAGGAGGGAACCGTCTACCCGTACGACGTGATGCCATGCGCAACCGCGCCAGTCCTTACCACCTCTAGCTTCTCCGAGTCCGAGTACGACCGCATTTCCTCCATCGTTGTCGCTGAGATGAACCGGCGCGCCCATGTCTCCTAGTGTAGCCCCGCACTCGCACACCACACTCCCTTCACATACGACTACGCACTCATAGCTCCTCCCCGTTCGCAGGCTTCCCGCCACCTGCAACGCTCAGATCTGCCCCCGCTCCGACTTTGTCGGCTGCATCGTCCGCTTCGCCGGTCATGACTTTATGGACTTCCGACTTCCCCCCAACGAGGCCTCGTTTGGAGGCTCTGATGGCTGTGTCGCCTTTGCCGACACTGACAACCGCGGCCTTGGCGCATGTCTCGCCGGAGACGACGTGTCGCTCGCCAATGCGTTCTCACAGGTGTGTGCGGTCATCTCGCTGGCCGATTTTGTGGTGCTCGCCGCCGAGGCGCTCATGGCGGAGGTGGCGACCGACCCGGCGCAGACGCGCGAGATGTTCAAGGCCGCCTTCACCTGGGGTCGCACCACCAAGACCAGCTGCCCGGAGAACCTCGCCGGTCTGATGCCCAACCCAGAGGACGGCTGCCCCGGCCTGAGCGATGTCTTCTCCGACCACATCTACAGCCGTCACGCCGCGAGCACGGTGGGAGCGGTCCGATCCTCGAGCTGCGACAACGACTCGTGCGTGAGCGCTCCTATTTCTGGTGAGTATGCCGGCGACGAGACGCCCCCCTTCCAATTTGGTGGCGACGGCAACGGGCGGCGGCTGCAGGGCAAGGGTGGCGGCGGCAAGGGAGGCGGCGGAAAGGGAGGCGGTGGTGACGACGACGATGACGACGGCGGCGGCGGCAAGGGCGGCGGCGGCAAGGGCGGCGGCGGCAAGGGAGGTGGAGGTGACGACGATGATGACGACGACAACGGTGGCGGCGGCGGCGGCGACGGCATCGACCGTCGCTGGTATCTGACCGCGGCCATCTCTGGCGCACACACCCTGGGCCGTGCTCTGCCCGGCAACTCGGGCTACTTTGGATGGTGGTCGGACCACCTGGAGAGCCGCATCTTCAACAATGACTACTTCAAGTCGCTCCTGTTCAAGGGCTGGCGTCCCGACACGGAGCTGTTCGGTAATGCGGAGAAAAATCAGTGGATCCGCTCTGACCGGCTTGGGGACACTGCGGACCTAATTGCCCACACCGAGATGATGCTCGACACCGACCTCTGCCTCGCCTACACGCGGAACGGCAACGACCTCTTCTCGCGCGGTGGCA